TGTTGTGATGCGGTCTCGTCTCTGCTAACTGTAATATTGAGCTTCTTTGGCTTCTTGTTTCCAAAACGAGTCCAATAATTTATCGCATCCAAGAATTTAGCCAAATAAGAGCTCCATCCCTTAATAATATCTCTTAAATCAGCCAATGATATGTAATTTATCATGCTGTCATATACTATTGCCTTAAGGGATGGGATCTGAAGCTCGACGAGAAGCCAATGGTTACGTTCCAAAACAGGGATAAACACCTGCAATCATAAGTAATAATTCATTCATTTGCGCACTTATTTATGAATACCTTTAAACTCAATCTAAAATAAACACTAACCTTATCGACCTCCCACCATGCAGGATAAAGTTTAGCTTGTCCATTGCCCAACGCAAATGATTCATCTCGTTGATTCTTCAAGTGAACGGCGTTAAAAGACGTCGGCATAATTGTATATCGTGTATTTCTTTTATTTTCCTTAAGTTTCCTAATTATTAGAAGATGTGACACCCACGCATCGATATGCTGTTTTACAAAAAAAGACATATATTAGTAACTTACATAAATTTACAAAAAAATAATCAAATGAAAATATAAGAAAAATATAAGACTTACCCCTCCATCGAAATAGCCATTGTCTTCGACCCCTAATAATACGCCCCACCAAGACCGATCAAGCAATAAATAGATATCATCATTGAGCTTGCATATGTCAGTGAAACACCCCTGGCTTCGCTCATGTAGATAAAAATCAACTGCGGTCTTAGCCCAAAGGGTGTTATCCAGAATTGTGTCCGGTAGTTGTTTCCTCTCCTCTTCAGATACCGGTATGGTACTGGCCGGTAACTCATATGAGAGCCAACTTGAATCCATCATGTCCGGCACGTCAGAGGGTTTCTCAAGAATACTACATATGACGCCATGTGAATCGGGCTCTTGAATGGTGGGAGGGACCTCTTCAACGATGACAGTGGCCTCTTGAACGGTGGGAGGGGACTCTCGAGGAATGATAGGGGCCTCTTCAATGATAGGAGTGGACTCTTGAGGGATGACAGACAAGTCGGGCTTCTTCTTGCGGTGTCTTCACACTATTGGGGTATACAGAGACTTAATAGCACGTGCACGCCGTCTGATGCGTGAACTCTGTCGTGCAAGAAAAACCCGACGTAAAGCATCCACCTTATCGGTCCGCTAAATAATTAAATACAAATATCAGTAAATAAACAGACATGATATTTAAACAGTGAAAACAAAGATAAATATATTTCAAACTTTCAACCAAAAGACAAAACAAAGACAAATATTAACTTCACAGTAAGTAAAAAGTTTAGCAGTTTTGGCAGCAACCGAATAAATTTACTAAGCAATCTAAGTGAAATGGTTAATTTAAGTGAAATTACGAGTAAATTTATCATCAAGTTAAATATGGAAAATCTTAAACTTACCTCGTTGCGTAGAGTATGAACCTTATTCTGCAACGATACTATCATCTCACGTAGAGCGGCAACCTCACCACGTAAAGTAGACACCTCCACACGCCATGCACTATCGTTATCAAGTAGAGTACCGATCTCCTCACGCAAGGCATTGACCTCATCACGTAACTCCCTTGACTCATCCCGTGGAGGTGGAGAATAGGGAGATAGAAGTCGTGGCATCTTTGTCGGTCGCCTATCATGAGGTGATGGTGGAGAAGAGGCTCGATGATGTGACGGGATAGGTGATGGCTCTCGTTGTAGAGGTGTATAGTCGGGTCGATCAAGTGATGGCTCTAGGTGAGGTGATGGCTCTCGAAGTGGAGGAAGTGAAGGCTGCTCATCATTCGTGCCATCAAGAAAACGCTGACTAGCTTGCCACCAATCAGTGGCAAGCTCAGCCTCCGTGGGTGTCAGTCTCATTAATGGAATGTTGGCCTCCTAAAAATATAAAAACTCAAACAAAGTTAAACGTCTACTATTAATAACTTGTTTATATATGATAGTATTTGTGTTAACTTACATTATTTATTGTCGCATATGATATTAAGTCTTCCCAATCCAACAGACGTTTCCTCTTCCAGGAAATAGCCCTGGGAATATCATTTGAAGTTTTTATTGCATATGTCTTCATGGCGGGAAAGGCCTCGAATATCCAAATCTACAAACAATATAATAACAAACATTAGTAATTGTTAAATAATTAATTATAATTTTGAAAACATTATATAGAAATTCTTACCTTAAAGGCCCAAACAAAGCCTGACAAAGTGTATTTCGACCCATCGCCCCGCAAACTTTTGCGGTCATCAAAGGCAGACGACAACTTAGTCCAGGTAGCTTTCCATATATACGAACCCCACGGAAACAGATTCCATGCATTTAGGTCCTCTACCAATAATATTAGCTCCTGAGGAATAGGTTGTCTGGCCTCTCTGCCTAAAAAGTCGGCATACAAAAGTAGTAGAAGGCATACTCGGACAACATCGACGTCATTCATCCGAGTAAAACCATCTTTCTTATTAAACAATTTCTTCATGTCGTCGACGTGTAAGTTCGACTTCTCTATTGACTCATCAGGAAAAACCCTGGATAACCATGATGGGCGGGTGATATGACGAGTGTACCGGCCTACATCATCGTGTCCGAATCGTAGACCAGTGATTAAGCAGAACTCCTTCCGCCCAAAACAAGTATACGCCGGTGGAAAATGAAACCATATCTCTTCCTCACCACGTTGTATACTGTCGGGTAGATCGCTAGTCATGGTCTGAAGCCACAAATGGGTCAAACTAGCATCTCCACCCGGATGCTGTACTCTCAGCCATGGCCCGAAGCAGGTTTCTTCAAACAATTTTCTTTGTGCAGGTGAAAGCTTCGAAGCAATTGTAGTGGCTAGGCTAACTTTATTCCTTAATGTCAATGAAGCCGAAAAAAATTTCTACAAAAAAACAATAAACATACCAAGTTAGATATACCAAAAACTACACTGTCAAGATATACCAAAAACAAAACAATAAACATAAATAGTAGTTTATTCTTGAAACTAAAATTTGCAACACTGTTTTTGTCTTTTGGTTGAAATGAAAATCGCAACGAGATAATGAGAATCGCAACGCGGAAATGACTATCGCAACGATAGAATCGCAACGAGAGAATCGCAACGCGAAATGACTATCGCGACCATACAATCGCAACGCGAAATGAAAATCGCAATGCGATTTTTGTTTCGCGTTGCGTTTTTTATTTCGCGTTGCGATTCTCTCGTTGCGATAGTTATTTCCGCGTTGCGATTTTCATTCTCGAAACTATTCTTCTTCTGCATTACTTCAACCAAAAGACAAAACAAAGACAAATACTAACTTCACAGGCTAAAGTTTAGCAGTATTGGTAGCAATCGAATGAATTTAATAAGAAATCTAAGTGAAATGGTTAATCTATTATTGAAATTACCAGTAAACTTATCATCAATCTCAATATGAAAAACCTAAAATAATGCAAAAATTTCAAAATAAAAATAAAAAAAACTAACCCTCGGAGGTTGATTTTCCATTTCTGAATGATTGTGAGGGATTTTTGACTGTGAATGATTGTGAGGGATTTCGCCGGCGATAGGGACGGAAATCTTCGGAGATGGGGACGGATTTCGCCGTAGAGAGTGAGAGATGGAGATGAGACTGAGTGTTGTGATTTTGGGTTTGAGGTTATGAGTTGCGATTACTGTGGACGGTTTAGTTTCCGATTTATTAAGAAAAATTTCGTGTTTGGAATTTGAAAAAAAAAATACGCGTTAATACGAATGGTGCTATGTAAATCGCGTTGCGAAAGTCAGAATCGCGTTGCGAAAGTCAGTATCTCGTTGCGATTTTGTATTATCGCATTGCGATAGTAAGTATCGCATTGCGATAGTCAGTATCGCATTGCGATTTTCCCAATTCGCGTTGCGATTTACTTATTCGCATTGCGAATTAGGAAAATCGCAACGACACTGTATACCATCGCAACGCGATTTCCAACTATCGCAACGCGAAATGCAACGCGAATTTGCGATAATGGAGATCGCGTTGCGAATTAGCGATCACATTGCGATTTTGTTAGTCATTTTGGCAAATCCGGAAAAAGTTGGTTAAAACCGTATATTATATGGGATTTTTGGTCACTGAGGTTATTTTCTCTTATTACTAAGACCAGTTAATAAATTTTGGTAATGTTTTATATTTATTTATTACATATATAAATGATTATAATTCAAGTATGTGATTGGATTTAAAATAAAGGTTTTAATATACAATTGTATATATTAGTCGATTAATAGATCGAATACTAGCCATTAATTAAAAAAAGTTTTCTATCACATTATTTATGGAAAATTTGTTAAGATATTGTAGTAGAAAATTTATTTTCCCATGTAATGCACTACAAAGATTTTTTTTAAATGGGGAGTTTTGAACAATAACATAAGGAAGACGCAAGGAACAATAGGCATTTTCTGCATGTCTGGAGAACACGTGAGGATCACCCGACATATTCTGCATTCCATAGGAGCATGGTGAAGTAAGACATGGATGTGTACCGTCCATGGGAGCATGGGGAAGACGCCATATTTTCCCTGCATCTTCATAACGACGCAACTATTTCGAGTGTCTTTCCCGTGATACTGTTCAAAAGATTTCTTTTGAGAAAATAATTTTGGGAATGCATTAACCAGAGAATTTTGTTCCGAGGACATTTTTTTAACTAATTTTGCCTATTACCGATTAAATTAAATTTTAAATGTAATTTTTGAAAAAAATATAAAGAGAAGGAAAGGGAATGTCTAAAGACTAATTTATCAATACATCACGAGATTTTTTTGATTAGTCTGAAATTATTATAAGGTAGCATCTGTTCGAAAGATTTTCAATCATTGACAATGAACGTTTAAACACCCTTATAAATGCCGTGTTTGAACAACCGAAAACATGCATACATGCAATAAGATGATTTGAGGCATATACATATATGGCTTCAAGCTTAATTATGATATAATCCCATGCACTAATCTCTCTTGGTTTAGAAATGGTTTTCTATAGATTTATGTATAGAAAACCCTGCAAATATCAATCATTTTTTCTCAAAATTCAAAACTAAAAATACATATACATATTTTTGCAGCTTCAATTCCTCTTCACGGTGTTCTTGAAACCTGCAAACATCAAACATTTTTTCTGTATAACGAAATGTGAATTGAGAATCATTCAAAAACAAAAACTTTGAAAAATAGATGAATCAATCTTACAAGGAAATAACTTTCACCAGGAACCAAGCTCTCAAGCAAAAACCCAAAGTCATTCATGGGGAGAGGCACACCAGAGGAGTGGACCAACGCTACATCTTGTCCAAACATGGCCTTAATGTCCAGTGAACCCCTTGGAACTTCACTTGGTACTCCATTGATGAACACTGTGATGAACCCTAAAACAAAATCCCAGAAAATTTACAAGAGAATATTAAGAATACATTGGGGGTAAAGGGTAAACTTTAGGGTTTACTTCAATCATTTCTTCTCTCTTTGCAAAGAGAAAAAGTTCCATATAAACATGCAGCATATATTTGGGGTATAGTGCAACTCTATTTTCAAACCACTGAATCCCATTGGTACATCACAAGAAAGTTACTGTTGCAGATTCTTTTCAAAATTCAACTTGAAGCACTGTGCTATGTTAGATTACGGACTTAAGAATTTATATCGAAAGTTTAAGGGGTATGAAATTACCGGATTGATATTGCAAATTCGAGATTTCCGATGGGCACAAAACCGATGTGATGCTCGAGATTTGATCTTGAAACCCCATTTGAGGGGATATGGAGAGAAGATTTTCCATGCCATCATCACTCATAACACCATAGGAAGAAGATGAACCAACGAGGAAAGGTGGGAAAGAACTGAAGTTAGAGACATCACTATGTTCAAACTGAATTGCACCACCGCTGCCGCCGCCAGCAAATGGTTGTGATTGGTTATTATTTCTTTGTTCACTAGCTCCGGCGGCTTGCAGCTGTCGTTGGCGGCGGCGAGACCTCGAACGTCGGTTTTGGAACCAGTAGAACACATTGGCATCAACAACAGCACCGAATTTCTCGAGCAACTTTCTTATTCTCACGGTTTCGTCCTTGGGAGGGTTCACCATGCCACTATTGAAGATGGACTCGAGTATGAGGATTTGTTCTGGCTTCGGTGTCCACCTCGACCGGACTGGTTCACTCCTCTCTGAAACATGGCTCGGACTATTACGGTCTGGAGCTTGATCTTCCATTGATGAAGATACCTAGGTTTGAAATATATGAAAAGAAAAGAAAAGAAAACCAAAACACATGAATATACAGTCTAGAATACATGAGGGAGGGTGAAGTTTATATATATATATAAGATACTGCTGGATTGTCACCTTTTGAAGTTACCAAATCACCCTTTTGCTGGTTGCACCTCTTAGAGTTGAAATTACTTCTTTGCCCCTCAAAGCTTTATCAAAATGTTCTACCTTTTATCAACAACTAATTGGTTTAGAGGGATGTGGTACTAGATCCCTTAAATAATATCATGAGTTCAAATCTTGATATTGTGAATAGAAAAGGTTAGATTAAGAGGATCGTCTCTTGATAGACTTCTGCAGTACTCGATCTTGATTAGTCAATCAATATATTAAATACAATAATTAAATAAAAAAATTTATATCCTTTAGCTTTGATTTATTTGAATCCATTTATTCAATTATTCTTAACATTAACTCGGTTGGTATCAATATTGTTACGCACTTTCAAAAATTAATTCATTAATAAAATTTTTGCCCATTCTTAAAAGTTTTGAATTCTACCGAACTAAAATATGTCGTTTTAATAATTATAAGTTGATATGATAAGATAAGATAAGATAAGATATTAAATCTTTTAAGTAAGATTAGACATTTAAATACAAATATTTTGAATGAAGAAAAATGAATTACGAGAGTCATCTCATATCGAACTTCTATAATATTTGATCCAATAAAGACGTTCTCTATATGTTCTTCCTATTAGTTCCAATCAAATACCTATTCAATTCTAGCTAGCTAGTCATCTTTGGTTTAAAGATTCAAACTTTATCATATGCTTCTTCATACTTGACAAAAGGTGAAAAGCCTACTTTTTGGTGGATTTATACTTTAGTCCTTCAATATTATTCTAAATCAACATTAAGCCACAATTAGCTTGCCGTCAAAGAGAATGACAATGTATCACATTTCCCCCCTTCTTGAATACTAATTATGGTCACCCATTAGATTTCAATAAAGAAAACTAAGCAAAACATTAGTAGTATTGATTTATATACCCATTAGAGATGCCAAAAGTCCTAAAATCGATTGGATACAATGATAAAATATATTATACTTTTAAGGAGAGAATAAAAATTTGAACTTCGAAAATAACATTGTCGAAAAAGATAACTCTAAATCTTGAATACGAATCATAAAATAGAGACGAACGATTACTATATATATATATATATATATATTATATCGAAGAAAGAACCGATGAAAAAGAGAGGTCAAAATGGTAAAAGAAACAAGGAGGAAAGGGGGGATGTGAAAGAGGGAAACAAAGGGTTGGGGTAAATGGCAAAGTGCATGTGAAGGAATGCATGGAAAGCTGAGTCCATGTAAAGAGAAGAGACAACTTTTTTTTTCCTTTTCCATAATAATAATCAAATCTATAAAATAAACAACCTCAAGTAATGGTCAAAAAATGGTGCCATAAATTTATTATTAATTGACAATAGCAGGAAATTCAAATATCAATAAATTGTATCGTAAAATTTTAAATTCTTATATATTTAAGATATTTTCTTCATATTTTTTTATTGAAAATCTGATTTTATCTTCTTACAATTTTATAAGTCCACAAACCCTCTAACATAAAATCATACGTCCGTCGCCGTATACGTTCCTATTCATAAAATATTATTGTCCTTAGTTTGGTTTAGGTTTTAATTTTTAGTAAAGGAAGCTCAATAAATTTGGGTCGTGAGTGTGTAAAATGATTGATGCAAAGGTTTCCATAAAATGGGAAATTGTACGTTGATTTTTATATATGGATAGTAAAAATACTTTTAGCTTTATTAGGTGTTTTTGTTCATAAATACTCCACTCTATATTTCCCTCTATCAATATGAAGAAAACTACTATTGCAATGTCGGCAATGAAAAATACACGACAAAAATACAATATATATATATATATATATATATATATATATATATCTTTCATATTCGTTTAATAATGTCTGTTTTAGTAAATATTTTTTTGTTTGTATTTATTAAAAAATATTTTATATTGAGAAAACTTGAAAACGAAAAACAAATAATAATTATAATAAGCTAAAGTTTAATAAGAGAAATAAAGAGAAAACTCCAATACATGTGCCCCAAAAGCATAACCAAATGTTGGTTGATGTCCCCTAAAAAATAATTTCAAATAGGAAATGAAAATTACTAAAAAAAAAAACTTATAAAATGGTAAATTCAGGTAAAAAAAACTAGATTCATGTAAGGGTTTGTACATTATCTCAAATTCTAAAATTTAACTTTTAAATGTTTTGTAGTTATAAGTTCAACAATTGACAACAAAAATAAATAAAATTTAATAAATATATTAATAATATTTTTTTAAATAAAAGATAGTATAAAAACTTAATATCATAAAATTAAAATATAAAAACTAAAAATATTATTCGGACAATTTTACCAGTTTCATGGGAGTGATTATGGCGTACGTTGCCAAGTTAGTGCGAGTTTTACGAGGGTTTTGTAGGTTTTTGGACTTTTACCACAAATGGAAAACTGCCTACTGATTTCACTGTGCCAAGGAATCCTCACTGTGCTGTACTCATCGTCTGCCTCCTTTATAAAATATATAATAGGCTAAACTATATATTTAGCCACCCAATTATCACTTTAACTCAGTTTTGGCCACTCAACTATTACTTTTTTAAAAATCATATTTAACGTTACGTTTTGGTCATCCACAATTAAAAAACAAACATTATTATTGATGTGATATTTTTTTTTATTTTTTCAATAATGAAGTGATATTATCTTATAGTGACACGTTAATATTATCGTTAACTTCTTAACAAGTGACTAAAATAAAACTAAAATATAACATTAAGTCCGACAAACTCTTTAAATTAAATTAAAACAGAATCTAATCATACAACTCTAATATTAGTTGAGGTGAAATGTATTTCTTTTCTCTTTATGTAACTGTAACTGTTTTTTTTTCTTCTGATAATGCCGCCACTATTACTTCACTTATTGGTTTAACAAGTACCACATATATATTATATTTATATTTACAAAAACCAATAGTACAAATGACTTGGAAAATTAAAACCAGAATCTGATGTGTGTTTTGGGAGGGAATGCCAGGACCACAAAATGTTTTTAACAATCTTTGTCTCTTCAAACTACTTGTTCCTTCTAGCTTTGTCAACTCTAAGTAATTGGAATTGGACCACTAACTCCCTCAATAATTAGCTCTCTCGACTCGAGAAGACGATCCGATGTATCGATTCGAGAGATCTGATTTGATAATTGTTTTATGATAATAAGATTTATGTTTAATGTTGGAGTTTTTACTAACATTTTTTTCTTCGTATGTTTCGTTTAATGAAATTTTTTTAACGAAACGTTGAAGATACATGAAATTGAGGAAACCATGACATTTTAGAGCAATTATATATATGTATATAGCTATAAGCTATTGGGGCATATGATAATAGAGGGGAGAGATGTTGCATTCAACCCACACAGTTGCAAAAGGCATTGATGTGTGTCAAAAATGAGAGTACAAACAACATGGATTGTGGCTTTTCATTTGTCCCTCCAAACTGTATTGTCTAAGGAGTATTATTATGATTCTTTTATGGTCTTAAGTTTCTTTTCAAAGCCCTCACCCTAGGAATAGCCTCTTCTTGTACTTATACTTTATGTTTTGCCCATAATGGTTTCAATCCTGGGTAATCTACACCCATGATCACTTAACTACGACAATATTCTAATCCGATATTTGGTCTTTTAAGGGTAAACTACGCATTTAGTCATTCAACTGTCACTTTGGTTTTGTTTTGATTATTCATTTTTTTTCAAAATCATATATAACGTTATGTTTTGGTCACCCGCCATTAAAAAAATAAACATAACTACTGACATAGATTTTTTTTAATGATGACATGTTAATATCACAGTTAATTTTTTAATAATAGGTGATCAAAATAGAACCAAAACATAAGGTCGAGTATGATTTTGAAAAAAATAATAGTTGGGTGATCAAAACGAAACCAAAGTGATATTTGAGTGACCAAATACATAGTTTATACATCTTTTAATTCTCTCAATCGTACCACTTAACTATTTAAATGATGTCAATCAAGTCTACATATATAAGCATTTAACGGACGTGACTGTTAAAAAATTGATGTAATCACACATTTAATCTTTATTACTTACACATTTTATCAATTTGGTCCCTATTACTTACACATTTTATCAATTTGGTCCCTATTACTTACACATTTGGACGAGTATTCCTCTTGAGAGTCTTTTCGGTTACTGCCGACATTTACTTTAAATTTCATGTATAATTTTCAAAGGATTGTGTTAACTTCTGAAAGCAACAACCATTTCAATAATAACATCAATCAGGATGTATTTACTTTAAGACAATAATTATTCTACATCATAGTTGATGTGTGATTTATTTTATTAATTTGATTTATTTATATAGTCAATTAATCTATTTTGTAATATCTATATTTCCATTTTATAAAAGGAATATATTTTAATCATACCAAACTTAGAAAAATATACATAATATTAAACAAAAAAAATCTCAGCTTATTTGATTATGTCATAAAACCCCTAAACTGAGATTGTTATATAGTTTATGATTATATGTGTTCATTTAAATAATTGGGAATAAAAGTGGAATGCGTATTTTATTATAAGATGAATCTGAAAATAAACCCATTGTGGGCTTTTTCTTATTTTATATATTTAATTTTGGCCCATTAGTTTACCAACTCGACTTGATGCACACATTAAACCCAAAATTTGTGGGCTTTTCCTTATTTTATATATTTAATTTATATTCTTCAAAAAGATTATTTTTGACTTTCGTGTCATTTTAGGTTTGATTCGATTGGATTAAATCTATTAAATTTTAAATTTATGATCTAATCGGTTCAGTTTCAATAATATTGATTAGAATTGATTGATTTTGCAAACATTTTATCTTAGAACTCTTTGTGTATTAGTTTTTTCTATTCGAGAATTTTCATGAATCCCGAATATATTTAGAATGAACGTGATACGTGCATCACAAAACTCACATTAAAAGAAGATATATTAGCATTTCCAATTGATCTATACGAACAAGTCTTGGAAAAGAACAATAACAGAACATCAGACTTGCGACTACTTTTCGAATGAGATCCTGATCTTATTCGGTCAACATTTATTCTTTATATATGACCGTCTGTCTCTTGGCTTTCCAATATTTTTTGAATCGCATCAATCCGATATCGTGAACTCAAGATACGTCCATTTTATTGAAGATAACGCATGAAGAAATTTCTATACAAGATTAATACGAGATTTCATGAATATTACGAATTTTTTATTGATTATTTGTAATATAGTTTAATATAGGATGATGTATTATCTTTTAAGATTAGATTTATTATTTTATTAGGAATTAAGATAGAATCGAAACATTATCTTTATTCATTAGTCATGTTACAACAAGGACTGCTCACCTATATAAAGGAGGTTTCATTTAACTTTGAAAAGGCATATTTATTTGATTAATAATACAAAGATAGTTCAATTTTATAGGTATTGATTGCCTTGTGCCTTCGAAGCATTCTTTTCATTAAGTTCTTTAAAGTTCCTTTGTGAGAGGATCTTCACACTCTCATTTGATTTCTCATTGCTATTAGGAGGGCTGGTTAGAGTCAATTATCGAGTTTGTCTAGTCAATTGCGACTAGGGTGTTTGTATGACAACTATCTATCAATCATCATTATCATCCGCTACGGCATCCTTTATCAGAACAATAAAACTCTTCTAACACTGGTTTTTTCCATCCACAAAACTCTAACCCTGAATGAAAACACTGAGATGATGCTGCCATCTAGTATTAATTCCTCATGACACCTCCGCAGCCAGCCGGGCCTGCAAGAAGAGTCGTCAACGTTAAACTTGACAGTATTCGCCGCGGGAAAAGTCGAACAGATCCCAGATCGAGATCGAGGAATAGTAACACCCGCGTCACACAGCTTTGGAGATATATCCACCAGCAAGCTCTAACTATGTGGTCAATGCCATTTTATTGATTGAGAATAAATTGTTTCGTATTTCATTGCTCTGTGATTCTTACTGTTGCATAAATACAAAGCAACCTCCATCGTTATTGTTGGTATTAAAATTTAACACGAGTCAAAGAGCATTTGGCATCGATGGTAATTAGGTGCTCAAAACAATTTAAACATCTCACTATTGTAATTAGGTCTCGGTTTCTCACGATTTAAGTGTTATGTGATTCGTTTGATGAAAATATAAAATGAAAAGAAAAATAGCAATACAGAGTAGTTGTGGAGGCTCTCAAGGTTTATATATATAATTAGGATTGTAGGTTTTGATGTATCTCTACGAATTTTATGTATCATTGTTTGTGATCTCATTTATTTATGGCTTAATTGAAAAATAAATACTTAAATTATACCTTTTGTCTAATTTAGATATTCATTAAAATGCGTGCTTAATATTTATTTTGTTATAATTTAAGGGGTCTATCACGAATTAGTGCTTAACAAAGTATGTTTTTTTAATTTCTATTAATCTTATTTAAAATAAACTAAAACCATTAATTTTTAAACCCCTAAATTACTTAAAATACCTAAATTCCATAAATATTTAAACCCATATCTCTAAATCTCATATGTCACCGTCGAATCAACTACCCTTAATATCGCCAAACTCCCATCGTTCGGTCGCCCCTTGTTGCCGTATGTCTTCGTTCAAAATAAAATAATCGCAACACTTAGTCGGTAATCTCGTCACACGAGATAATTTTTTTCACCCAACCATCGTCTGTTTGTCGTCGTTGGTGAGACTGCACTACTGCCTAAACCAAAATTGAGCCTCCTAAACCTTTGCTCGCCGCATGGTCTCTGACAGTTTAAGGGGATTAGATAATTTTTTTTTGATAAATTAAAAAATTTAGATTTTTTTAGAAATTTAGGTTTTTTATTTTTAAAAATTTAATATTAATCATAAATTAATACTATGTGTCAACCAACTAATGGTTAAATAACTTTAAAATGATAACAAAATGAAACATTAAGTATCTTAAATGATAATAAAATAAACATTAAATACCTACTTTGATCAAATAAAACTAATAGACACCCAAAACAAAGAAAATATATAATTTGAAAACTTATTTTTTAATTAAATTTTTATTTAATTATCATTTATGAGTAATAATATAAAATTATTATTAAAAATGATAACAAGAACGTACTAGCAGCTCAGAATTTAATTCATGTCAATTGGCATGACATCCATGATACTACTCCCACACGCCACGGGCAGCACAAATCTTGTGCCTTTCTCATAAAGGCAACCCCTTTCTCAACTCTCACACCCACACTTAACATCATCTGTGCCCAACATCTTTTCATGTCAATTCTATAAACATAAACATCTTTGCTCTCTTGAAAATACATCCCTAAATAGCCCTTGAAATGGCCGAGCCACACTGCCATGGCATGTCCGAAACTACCCGTAGGAAGGGAGCCGGCAAGCGCGCCACCATCCCGGTTGAAGTCGAGCCAGTGCCAGAAGTTGCCCTAACCCCGACAGCACCATGTGGTGCATGCAAGTTCTTGAGGAGGAAGTGTATTGGTGGGTGCATTTTCGCACCCCACTTTGGCTCGGATCAAGGTGCGGCCAAGTTTGCTGCGGTCCACAAGGTTTTCGGTGCTAGCAACGTTTCCAAGCTCTTGCTTCACATCCCGGCGAACCGACGGCATGACGCGGTGATCACGATATCGTATGAAGCTCAAGCTAGGCTATCGGACCCAGTTTACGGTTGTGTCTCGACCATATTTTCTTTACAACAACAGGTTAATCAACACATGCACTGCCATATTTTAGTTTCTTTCCTAATTTGATTTCTTTTAAATGGAAACCAATAAAATATAGACTCGAACTCTTTACCTTATTTAAAAGATTCTTTTCACAGGTAGCATCGCTGCAAGCCGAGCTAGCAATGGTGCAAAACCAGCTGATCAACAGTCGATTTGCGATGGCGAATGCCCTTCAAAACTCGCAGCATCATCATCAACAACAACAACATGAGCAGCATATAGCATTGCTTCAACCAGCATACTCAAACAATTCCTCAGCATCCAATAATCTCATAAACATAAGCAACTTCGCCTCCAATTTTGAACTCGTGGCTGAAACTACTAATACTGCACCCATTTCTTCTCAAAGCATGGACCATCTTCACCTCTCCATGCCGTGCCATGACGACGAGGACGACGAACAAGATAGTCGGATTCCAGCCATGTTCGTCAATCAGATAATTCATCGTACATAATCTTTACGATATCTATCTATCCATATATATACATAAACATTTTTTCTTTTTCCCTTCGAAATATACAAACTTATGAGTCTTAATAATTTATAAATATATAGGATGGATTATATGGATATGACATATATATAATAAGTAAATAGTTGTATGTTATTTATTATCGCAAAAAGGATTAATTTATATTAAAATAATCTAATTTGATTCAGTTTAATTGAATTTAATAACTAAATAAAGTATGAACTACATATATGAATATTCTAAATTTACCGATGAATTTAGATATTTTTAATACTCGTGAATAAAAGGAAAAGGTCAAACTCCAAAGGAGTTGGTAATTAACAAAATGAATAATATCAATAGATATTTTTTAGTTGGTTTTTTCATGAGAATGAATGAATATATCCTCTTTTCAAATTTTTTTATTAAAATGGTACTCAAATAATATTATTAACTAAAATTGCACCTTTTGGATTAAGATATGTCTCCGTGCAAACACCTTAGGAAAGATGTGTATTAAAGAGAGCGTCTTTATCTACGTGATAAGTCATCAGGGTGATCTCTCTAACGCTAATATCACTCGAGATAAAAAATGAAAGAAATGAAGAATATTATATCAAAATATAAAAAAACTAGAAAGTTTATTAAAAAAAGAAACAACACACACAATACATGTCAAAACACATGCTTGTATGAGTACAGATCAATCGAACAGTAATAATGACGTATTTATATAGGATTTATCTTCAAACATTCAACGAGTATATATTTATAAAATTATATTCAAATAATTAAATTTGTATAAGTTTACATACATACATTCACACATACATACATATATATATATATATATGTATGTATGTATATACATATGTATGTATATACATATGTATATATGTATATACATATGTATATATATATACATATATATATATATATATATATATATATATATACAACATATTTGGATGCCATTAGTATGTAGTTTTTACAATGTAAGAAATGTCACTTTCAATCTGCTTTGTGACCTTGAAAAGAATCAAGTCAAAAACCTTACACTCATATTAGTTTAAAAGCCACTTTCATGGCAACAAACTTTTAAAATCCATTTATGTTCCAACAACAATCTTTTATTATTAATATATTTTTAATCATAATTAAATTTTACAAAAATATAAATTCAGATAAACGTGTATAAATAGTAGGTTCAATCATATGTAAAATGACAAAAAAATCATCTTAAAATTTCTATTGATATTAGTCTCTAATTTTTTATTTTAATTTTCAATTTTATCCTCAATTTCGTTCTCTCCCATTAAAATCGTTAGTTACCTTTTAACCGTTTAAACAAAATCATCAAAAATTATGTTTAGTTATATTATGAATAAAAGTTATCTTTAAATATAAATTATCTTATACTTACTTATATTAATAAAAAAATAAAATAAAATACATCGTATAATGACTCTTGAATAAAAGACAATACAAATTATCAAAATCGTCAATTTTTAACATTGATTTTAATAATTATTATAAAAACCATCTTAATTTCCTAACACTTTCATTAATAATATTCTTTATTCATTTAAAATCATAATATCTCTGTAAATTTACCATCGAAATTTAATAAAACAAAAAACACAAAATAGCATAGTGTCGACAATCATTTTCGTCCGAGACTATATATTATTATTATTATTATTATATTACAATTATTATTATTATTATATATATATATATATATATTATTATTACAAATAATACAACACGAAGGCCCATTTTACAAAATCAACCCGATTCAGGCCCAAACCCAGTTCAGGCCCAGACCCGATTCAGGCCCAAACCTAGTTCAGGCCCAGACCCAGTTAAGGCCCAAGAAGCCCAAAACTCGAATAAGGTTTTCACATCTCATCTTAGCAGTCACATATGACAACCGTTGGATCTGGAGAGATCCAACGGTCAAGATCAAATCTAGCAAGAATCCTATAGTTCACCAACCCTAGGGACTATTCCGGCACCGCCTCCAGATGGTCCACTTCGACGTTGCCACGACGTCGCCGCCTCCAACAGAAGGATCAAGAAGAAGCGAGGATAGCCGCACACTTCATCGCCATATGGTGAGTCACCATTGTAGATCCAGTGACTAACCAAAATGAACGGTTGTTAGAAGCTTTCTCAGGCCTATAAAAAGCCTTGAAAACCTACAAAAAAAGAAGACGACAGCAAGAACAGGAAGAGAGCAAGCAACACCAAACGAGTAGGAAACAAACCGAAAGGAGAAGAAAGAATAGGAGATCTTACCTTCGGTAAAATCTTAGATCTAGGCCGTTTTGAAGTTTTTTAGAAAAAAGGAAGGTGGTTTCGAGTTTAGGGTGAGCCGATCTACGATTTGAGCTATTTTTATTTTTTTTTCAACCGTGAATAGTGATCGAAATAGTGACTGGCTACGTGAATAGTAACCGGCTGGTGACCGGAATAGCGATCGGCCGGTGGTCGACCGATGAATGGAGCTCTCTCCGGTGAGGGAGTTTAGAGAAAAGGGAGAGCAAAACAGAAAAATGAGGAAAAATGAGGGAAAATGACCTATTTTGCCTTATTTATACCCAAATCAAAACTACATCACTTTGGGGAGGGAGTGTGTGTGCAATTTTAGGATTGATAAATCACGTCCATGGTCCTTGTATTCTGTAATTTTCTATTATAATTACCAAAATTAGGTTTCTATATCTTTTAATTTTGTCTTCACATTTTATTTTTTTTTATTTTAGTCACTACCCGTATATTTACATATATTTAACTAATATTTTAGGATTATTTACACTTTTTATATATATATTTTATAATATTTCGAATATTAACCAATAATTTATATTTTTTAAATTTAATCCTATATTATTATTTTGGTTATTATTTAATTGCAATTTTATTTTATTATTACCTTTTATGTTTAAATATTTTAAATCTAGTATTTATTTATTATTTTTTATTTTAATCACATATGTGTATCCTAATAATATATATTAGTGCTTATAATAAAATAATATAATGAATAGAAAAAATAATAATAATGAAATAAAGTAATACCATTATTAAAAGTAATAATAAAAATTAGAAAGTGAAACACTATAATTATGGTGTTCCATTTTAAAATACATTCCACTAAGTTATGTCCACATTTTTATATATTTTTTTAATCCCATGTTTTTTTAATTATTTATAATGTTTAATTTTTTATTTTTTTTCTTGAAATATGTATTTTATTATCTTAATTTTAATATTTTTAATATTTTCATATTATTAGAGGATTATTTACAACTATAGTACTTTGCATATTAACTGTTAAAATAGTAACCTTAATTTTTATATTTTATTGATTAAATCATTAAAATTATTATATGTAATATGGTTATTTTATTTTATACAATAAGTCATAAAATATTTCCTTAACTTATTAAGAAAGTATTTTAAATGATTTGTTTGTATAAAATAATATTCTTAATTTTTTATGGGATTATAAATTGAAATTAAATACAAATTTGTTAATTTATTGCAAAGACGTTAATTAATAAACAATGTATCAATTATGGGCGTTGTGGGGGTGATAATCCTTCTCCACACGTAACCGACTCCCGAACTCATTTTCTGATAAGCATACCCTTTTTGTGTTATTTTAATATTATTTTTATAAATTTTATTAAAATAACAACATTTTTTGTGACCAATCATACCTCGATAAAATGATTGGTGGTGACTCCTCAAATTGTGTTTTAACTTATGCCAGAAGAAAAACACTTACTTTTTCGAGACGGGATTTAGAAAATAACGACACTTGTTTTCGCCAGGCGGAATACCGTCTCGACAGCTTGGTGACTCTATTGGTGACTTTTTTTAAAAGAGAGTCAAGCCACCAATTTATTAATTAATTATCTTTGCAATAAAAATTATAAATTTGTTTTAATTCCTTGATTATTTTAATAACCATTTTCTGTATAAATACTTGTACTAACTGGTTTGCTATTGTTTTCAGGTTTAATTAAATGTCTTTATATTGAAAGAATAAATTTGTTTGTTGTGCATTATTTATTTCTTTTTATGCTTTTCTTCACACAATGTATGGGAAACTACTCCCTCGTATGATTTTTACCTCCGTATGGGATAGGGGATCATTCCTTGAACTCACACCTTATGTTCCTCGTGTGGTTTTTACCTCCGTATGGATATAAGGAAGCGTGTTCCTTCGAATTGAACTCGATCTGAAAGTCTGTAATGGACCAGGATTGAGGGTTTGATAGTCCAAGGGGACACCAACAAAGGACAATTCGATAACCATTTTTACCTTAGATCCAAACCCAGCATATAATAAACCTAGAACTCGAATCTAGTCAGAGCCTAACCTAGGAGAATCTCGTAAGGTTAGCACACAAGGAAAAACATGTTGAGTCTTAATTTACTTTATTTTCCTAATAAATGCATGCGAACTAGAAATCATGCGGTTAGATTTATTTCTCCAAATAAAGCATGGAACTAGATTATATGAGGTTAGGATTTTTATGATATTACTACCTAATTTTCCTTTGTTTGTTTTTTATCATTTTCATTATGCATTACATTTTTCATACCATGGTGTTGATTCATGATTGATGTTCATATAGAAGGCTAGAAATATAGAACGAAGAGTCTTACATGAAGTAGAAAATAATGCAGATGTATCTATAATATGTTTAAAACTTTGTTTTAGTATAAAAGTTGTTCTAAGGAATCAATTCACTATCAACACCTTTTTGCATACATGCATTTGCATTGCACAATTCGTATTCTTATTTTTGCATTTCTGCATTTTTTACATTTTCATTTTACATTCACAACTTTGCATTTGCATTCGCATCTTTACGTTTGTATTTACATTTTCATTTTTTACATTTGCATCTTTGCATAGTTATATTTATAGTTTCAATGTTACATCATGCATTTGCATTTTGTTTCAAACTATTTTACATGCATTT